ACTATGTCTATTCAAAAAGGAAAAATTATTTTGAAACCTTTACATGATGTTCAGGGATATACCACTAGAGGGCGCCTGGTTCCTAACAACCAAACAAAACTAGGATGTGGATCATTACGCTAAAGGAGTTGTGTGGTTTTTGCAACTTGTTCATTAGTTGATCATATGTTATGCTTCGCTGATATAAATATAATTCCTATTAACCTCCTGAATGGATGACAAATATAGGCATGCATTTGTAACATATGAATGGAAGACAACCAGATAAAATCTGCTATGGAAAACAAGTCTGTTGATTTGGCTGGATTGTTGGATTGGGGTAGATTCCCGGGATGTTAACCTATTTGGGAAAGGTGAAGACTAGTTCGCATAGGACTCCATCTCCTTTAGCACCATGTGCAAGTGAAGCACTGGATCTCTTAGACCCCTCTAAGGCCCCTTCCACAAAGATGAATAAAATCCCACATTATATTATTTGATCTGGAATATATGGCAGTGTGGACTCAGATAACCCAAGCCCCTTCCACACAGCCCTATATCCCAGGATATCAAGGCAGGAAATCCCACAATATCTGCTTTGAACTTGGTTATCTGAGTCCGCACTCAGATAATGTGGGATTTCCTGCCTTGATATTCTGAGATATAGGGCCCCCCAGGAATATCTGTAAATAAAGGAATGTGTTAATGTGTCCATTAGGCCTGGGTAACAACGGAAAAATTTGTTTCTAAAATCGATTCATTTTTTGGGGTTTTTTGCGTTTCGCTTTTAAAAGAATTCCGAAATTTTTAAAAAAGTTCGATATTTACGAAATTTCGTAAATGGTAAAAATTACAAAACAATAACGAAACAATAACGAACATCGATTCGTTAATGGCGGACGCGACCGCGCAATACGCTAAAAAACCTCCAAATGGGACAGGGGGAACTTCTGAAGCTTCCCTCTCCCTCTGTTGTTGACTGTTGGTGTGATATTATAATTTTTTTTCACTAATTAAACAAAAAACAACTATAAAACTTGCCCCAGACATGCAGAAATAATAACGAAACAACCTCAAACCAATAACAAAACGAATACATAACGAAATATGAAGCATTTACGAAACGAATTGAAAAATTTGTTTCGTTTTTAAGCTGCTCCAGAATGGTTCGTTATTGCTTCGTTAACAAAAAAATAACGAATTTTTAGCGAATTACGAATTAACGAAACGAAACCGCCCAGCCCTAGTGTCCATCAGTGCAGCAAGAACCAAGGGCACTTCCAGATAGCCTTTTATCCCAGTAAATCGCTCTTCCCCTCCACCTCCTTTCTCCTGGCGCATCATTTGTACATGCCAGGAAGAGAACTCTAGCAGCTGTCCTGTTGGGGGGGGGGGGTTCTTTTTTTTTACTGAGTTTAAGGGGGCTTCTTGGGAGGGGGGGTTTAGTATCCCAATATTGTACTGGCAAGTTCCAGTACAACATCTGGACACCCACCCCAGAAAGCACGTGCTTTCATGGATAGATGTAGACAACCCCCCAGGAACATCCATGTTTTTAAACATAGATGCTCCTGGGATAAAAGGCTGTAAGTTTTCTTTTTTTTACTGCGTTTAGGAGGGCTTTTGGGGAGGGGGTTGGTATTTCCACAGTTTTCCGAGCTAATTTAGCCCAGAAAACTGCAGAAATATTCTGTAGTCCAGAACTGGAAATAGTGGGTTTATCCCGATCCTTCCAAGAAGGTGCAGAATAAACCCATTATCCAATTCATTTGCCACAAACTAGGGTTTTCCTGGTTTGTGGCGAATTAATTCAGGATTGTCCAGGATGTCATCTGGACAGCCCCTTCTTTATTGTGGGATTTACCACAATAAAGGGGCTGTCTAGATCCACCCCAGGAGATAACCAAGTGTTTGGTGTGGTGGAGAGAAAGAGAGAATACACATCTCAGTTAACTTATGCAGCAGTTATTCTTAATCTCTGGCCTTCCAGATGTTTTGGATTTCAGGCCCCAAAATTTCTTACCATTGGCTATCATGGACTTCTGGATGCTAACATCTATATGGTATGTGAGACTGGAAGTTGAAAACAAGATATCATGCAGATATTATGCCTCTCTAAAATGGTGATGGGCAACTTCAGTGTGCCTAGAGGCCAGTTTTCCCCAGGACTTTCAAGAGGACACATGAATCCAAAGGGCCAAAATTCAAAACTGGCGGAAGCTTACTTCGTTTTTGGAGGGAGAGGAGCGGTGTGGGAGGGGGATAAATCTTAAATGAGCTTTTTTTTTAAAGGATATCTGCACCTAGAGATTTGCAGAAGAGGATTATCATTTTTCCCCATGTAAACGATCAACTTAGGAGTACTGGGGGGTAGATGTGGTCCCATAGTCACAGTTTGCCACTTCAATGCAAGACTATTGGACTATTGTGTCTTAGTCTTGAAGCATTTAATGCCTGTAGTCTAGACAGTCAAGATGTTGCTGCATACTGATCAGTGTTGTCTGTGAAGAGTTGCTAGCAGAAATGTCTTCGGCCAATATTCTCACTTCCTAGGGAGCTGTGTGGTTACTATGGACATCAAGGGTGATGTCACTGTTGTAGTGCTACATTGGCTGCACTGTTACAGAAAGGAAATGATACCAGCAAAGTGCTGCCAGCAAAGCAGTCACACAGTAGTTATCTTGGTGGAAGCACAAGATCAAGCTGTTAGTCTGAGCTAAACTTTGTCACTCTCAACTAGCTAGCGGAATGTATTATTTTCAGGTCTTGTCATTTCTTGGATACTGGAATAAGGTTTCCTACTTTCCTGTTACTGTTAAGTGCTATTTAATGCTGCCAATAACGCCATTTAAAAAAATGTAGACATGGTCCTAGATAGGTTTAAAATCTCACCCAGAAGATTGTGTCATGTGAACAAGCAATTCTGAACTGAAGATTGTAAGTTAAAAGAGCACGATATCTTGCTAATGAAGCCTTGTTTTCATATGCATTGGCAAATTATGTCTCCTTCCTAATAAAGATTTGTAGCTTATGGTGGGAGCTATACCATTCCCCAAGGTGCAATTGTTGGAAAATGTAAAGGGAATTCTTAATATAGCATAGCAGACCTCTTCAGTGTGTCTTCTATTACACCTTATCAATCTCTGCATACTTTAATGCAGTAACAACCCTGACTGACATGCCAGCAGTTCTTATCTCTTAGTTGTTAAAAGTGCTTGCAGTGTCACACTGCATACTTAAAATCACTCATAACTGGGGGAAAAGGAAATAATGTTTTCATAGAATCACAGAGTTGGAAGAAACCTCATGGGCCATTCAGTCCAATCCCCTGCAAAGAAGCAGTAAAATTGCATTCAAAGCACCCCTGATAGATGGCTATCCAGCCTCTGCTTAAAAGCCTCCAAAGAAGGAGCCTCTACCACACTCTGGGGCAGAGAGTTCCACTGCTGAACAGCTCTCACAGTCAGGAAGTTTTTCCTAAGGTTCAGGTGGAATCTCCTTTCCTGTAGTTTGAAACCATTCAAGATCATCTCAACATCACTATATAGTTTGTGGCCTGCTTGAACTAATAGTTTAACCTCTGCTATATTTTAAGAATCTTAGTTCTTATCAGCAACAGATGCCTGATGCATTTGGAGGTTTCTGTTCCAGTTTTCAGTGCTGTCTACTTTTTAGAAGGCATTTGTGGGTATTTGCCATGAGGTCATCTTGGAAAATGGTTTCCCTATGTTGAATGCTCCTCTGTTTTGCTCAGAAGGTGGTGGGAAGGTGTGTGTTCCAGGTTGAATTTCTTTTTGCATCTTATGAGCCATCACAAGGAGGCATCGCCATGGAGCTTTTATGTCCTCTAGCCTTCATTAAGAACTAAGCTGATAGAATAGATGAATTCTTGTGAATCAGTTCACTCACACAATCGCCACTAAGTGTCTGTCTGTATGATTTGCCTGAAAATTTCCACTGGAAGTTGACCATAGAATGGCCCTGCAAGACTTGTAAATACCGGAGAGTTGTTTTCCCAGGGGAGTGGGGGGGGGGGGGTAACATTTTTTAAAAGTTTTTCTACTTTTGAAGGAGTCATAGGCCCTTCACTTGCATCAAAGTGGAGGGCCTAGTGTACTTGGCATATGGTTATTTGAAAGTCTGAATCTTGTCAATAATAGATTAAATAAATAAAGAATCTGTTGGTGGACATTTGCTTTCAGAATCATTCAGTGAAGATAAAAGTAGCACATATTTACATTTAAGGCTGTTTATTCGGTGTCTAAAGAATGAATCTAAAAAGAGAAAATTCTAAAGGCTCTCTTTCTACCCATGAGTTGGTAACTTTTGCATTTCAAATCACACGTAGTACTCTTCTTGCAGTGTTTCCAAAAGGCATTCATGCTTAAGGCTCTGATAATGAGCAAAGATTTAAAAACTGGATTGCTTAATTGGTGATGAGCCAAACAATAAATCAACTATAATGCTTTAAATGTGAAGGGGCAAGAAAGACTCTAATGAACTGAATAATTGAAGTGCATGTCTCTGAGTGAGTGAGGAAGAGAGAGAAGGAAAGGGGAGAGGAGGATGTATATGGGAAAGATGATGTGCTAGACAAGGATAGAGAAGATAGGAAAACAAAAAGATGGGAGGGGGAGATGGAAAAAAGCAAGGGATTACAGAGAAACAAAAGGGTCCCAGATAAAGAGCCTAATGTGTCAGGGGTGAAGACAGACTATCCATTGATTGGCAGGGTAGCTTGGTGACCCAGTTGTTCCATGAATATATGAACATGTTGGCAGCAAGTGTCAAGCATATTTAAATATTCCTTCATGTGTACAAAGGAGAACAGGCTTACCAGCTGTTCTTACAGCATTAGGTTGCATTATGTTAATTCAAAACAAGATGCTGTTGGTGTTGATCCTCCCATTGCATAAAAATATAGATAAAATTACATATACTGTAAATACAAGTACTAGAAATGGCAATGACAACCTTTCCCAGAAGCATTCATTATAACATTTTCCTTTCATTATCCATAGGGATTCTTCTGTTTTGCAGTAGTGTTTTGTGCATCAATACAAGCAACCTATTGGACAATTACCAACAGTGCTGTGGTAAGTACAGCTTAATAACGAATCGTCAAGAAAAGCACTACATGAATGCTTTGTAAATATAGCAACATGCATTGATTGTGAACTTTATTGTGTGGTTTCACTTATGACTATGAAATCCTTGTTAATATAAGCAGAGTACTTTAAACAAATTTCAAATGGCTTTTTCGGGCACTGTTGTATGTATGTATTTATTATTTATTTACTGCTCTTATATACCACAATTCTCAGCCCGAGGGCGACTCCTTATATAGATGTATGCATCTATATAAGGATGAGGAAATGAAAATGTATTTCTTCTAAGAATATGAAATCTATCTCACTTTGGGGATCATATCAAGTTAACCAATGGGAAAATTCAGTTTCTGAGGCTGCATGGTATTCAGAATAATTAAATTGCTGGGTTGTGAGAGGAGAGCATTTGCCATCAGCCTTAGAAGAGCCTCCAGAGCTGGTAAGATGTGGACGGCTCCAATGAAATGTATGTGCATGCCTTCAAATTGCCTGTTGGCTTATGTTGATCCCATGAATTTCATCCAGTTTTCATAGGCAAGGAACACTCAGAGATGATTTTGCTGGGTCTTTCCTCTTAAATATAGTCTACAGTACCTAGTATTTATTGGTAATCTCCCATGTAAGTACTACTCAAACTGACTCTGCTTAGCTTTCAAGATCAGATGGAATCTGGTGCTTTTAGAGTATTTAGGCTATTTCTAATAAAAGCTAAGCAACACTTAATGCCCTCTAGATGTTGTGGACTAAACTCCAGTTACACCTATGATTGACTATGTTAGCTGGAACCAGGAGTTGGAGTCCAATGACATCCAGAATGGCAAACAGGGTTGTGGCTATAAAAGAGATAAATAGAGCATTTCCCTCCCATTGAGATTCTGCCCCCCCCCCCATGAAATTTTCTTTAATTTCTTTTCTAGCATTGCATTTGCTTAGAATTATGGAATCAAAAAAGTGGAAGATACTATAAGAGCCATCCAGCCTCTGTTTAAACATCTCCATAAGAGTTCTAGATGTGAATCAGTTTTAGTTTCTTGAAATTTGGAGACTGAAAATTTCACTGGAAGGCTGCATTCCTATCCGGGGGGGGGGGGGTCTTTCTTTTCCCCTACCTCATAGCAACATTTCTGGTGTTATCGATTCCTCACCTTGTTGTGTTTCAGTTTATGCATGTAAGACTGGAAGTACTAGCGTCTATTAAATCCAAACACACTACCTACCATCTTACAGTGTGTGTGTGTGTGTGTGTGTGTGTGCGCGCGCGCGTGCACAATGGAAAACTTTTCAGCTTTACAAAACTATCGCCAATATTGAAATAAAAGCCATTTTTGCTCATGGATACATGCATACACATATGCACAGAAAAACATACTCAGGGCACTTCAAGATAGCAATTTATTGCAGGTGAAAACGGGTTAAAATAACCCATTTTCGTCCATGTTGCTGTCTCCACGGGTGCCCAAAAGAAGCAGGCTTTCTTGGGTGTGGTCCCCATGCCAGTGCAGTAACTTCATGCTGGCATGGAGCCACCCAACACCCCCCCCCACACACACACACACACACACACATACACACACCAAAAAAGTCTTTAAAATAAAGGAAAAGTTACCGGATCACCATTGGGCCTCTCTGCAGGCTTCCTGGAATGTACCAATGACACAGCAGAAGGCCTGGGGGGGGGGGGGAGAGCAATTCAGCACTTCTCCAAGCTCATGGGGCCCAAAGAAGTAAATTGGACTGTGGGAACAAACTACTGGAACTGCAGAAGCTGGGTTTCTATAGTTGAGCAGAAATTTGATGATGATGATGATGGTGATTTATTATTATTATTATTATTATTATTATTATTATTATTATTACAAACACAACAAGATGAGTCTACAGCAGACAAGATCACTCTATTGGCTATTGTATTGGATCACACGCTGGACACTTCCCACGTATCTAGGACTGTGTGATGTATCGGCAAATAATGCGTGCAAATCCCAGTAAGGTGGCTTTCTGCAGCTAGCAGATGGTAATTTTGTCAGTGCCAATTGTGTTTAAGTGCAGGCCAAGGTCTTTAGGCACTGCACCCAGTGTGCCGTGCACCACTGGGACCACCTTTACTGGCTTGTGCCAGAGTCTTTGCTGTTTGATCTTTAAATCCCCATATCGTGTCAGCTTTTCCAGTTGTTTCTCTTCAATCCTACTGTCACCTGGGATTGCAACATCGACTATCCATACTTTGTTTTTTAACACGATCATGAGGACAGGAGTATTGTGCTCCAAAACTCTGTCTGTCTGAATTCAGAACTCTCAGAGGAGTTTGACGTGTTCATTTTCTGTAACTTTTTCTGGCTTGTGATCCCACCAGTTCTTTGTCGCAGGCAGATGGTATTTGTGGCACAAGTTCCAATGAATCATCTGAGCAACGGTGTTATGCCTCTGCTTGTAGTCTGTCGCGTGATTTTCTTGCAGCAGCTGAGGATGTGATCTATTGTTTCATCTGTTTCTTTGTTAAGTCTACATTTGGGATTTGTCGTTGACTTTTCAATTCTGGCTTGGATGGCATTGGTTCTAATGGCTTGTTCTTGGGCTAACAGAATCAGGCCCGCCATCTCCTTTTTCAAAGTTCCATTTGTGAGCCACAGCCATGTTTTTTCTTTGTCAATTTGGCTCTCAATTTTTCCCAGGAACTGTCCATGGAGAGACTTCTTTCACCAGTTTTCTCTTCTGCTCTGGATTGTGTTTTTATAGTATTCAATCTTTGTGTTTTGCACTTTAAGCAGTTTACTACTATTGACTTCCCTCAATGTTGGTTCTTGACTGCCTTTCACATAATCTGCTAGTGCATGTTTCTCTTCTTGTACTGTTTGTTTCACCTGCAGAAGTCCTCTACCTCCTGATTTTCTGGGCAGGTGAAGTCTGTCAACATCACTATATGGGTGTAATGAGTAGTGGATTGTCATCAGTTTTCTTGTTTTTCTGTCCAGATCATCCAGCTCTGCTTGTGCCCAGTTCACAATTCCAGCAGTGTATCTAATGACGGGGATGGCCCAGGTGTTGATAGCCTTGATCATATTCCCACCATTTAATTTGCTCTTCAAAACCTTTCTGACTCTTTGGATATATTCTTTGCTGACCACATTTTTCACATTCTCCTCCTCCTCCTCTTCCTCCTGGTGTTGCTGCTGCTGCAGCTTCTTCTTCTCCTCCTTCTCCTTCTCCTTCTTGCTCTTTCTTGAAAATCCCAAGAGTGCCACTGAAATAGATTGTGTTGTTCAAATGATAAAAAGTGCTTTACATCATCATGTATGAAAATAGAATTGGCAGTATATGTTCCCCCATCACTAGACCCGTTTTTCTCAATAACATGCTTAAAACAAAAACAGAAGCAATATCATTAATCATACATCTTATGACCTGCCAAGGAGCAAGCTGGTCCTGAAAGATAATGCAACAATCAGCTGTATGGTCAGCAAGGGTTAGCCAGATAAGCATAAGGTGCAAGGAGAACAAGACAAGACCCCACAAAGCTCTGCATAGCAGCTATCAGTACAAGCACTCATGCTGATAATTGAGAATTGCTCAGGAATTATAAAGATGTTGCTATAAAACTGCACAAACATGGACCACACATACAGGAAAATATTGTAAAATCAGAGTTGAAAGTAAGCCCCAAGGTTATCAATTCCAACCTTTTCGATTCAGAAAATCCACTATGATACCATTTAATACATTTTCATCTAACATGTGACTATCTAGTCTGTGCATAAAAACCTCTCATTTTCTACTTTTCTCAAGAAGCCTGTTTTAGTATTATGTATTAATACGTAAGTGTTGGGTACAGAGTTTCTAAAAAGTTGAAACAAGGGTTATATCTACACTGTAGAATTAATGTAACTTGACACCACTTTAACTGCCATGGTTCAATACTATGAAATTATGGGAATTGTAGTTTTACAAGCCTTTCGGCCTTTTTTTGCCAAAGAGTCCTGATACTTCACTAAACTACATATCCCATGATTTCATTTTAACTGTCATTAAACCATGACAGTTAAAATAGTGTCAAACTGTATTCATTTTGTAAATGCACCCATGATCTTAAAAGACGACAGATGGTCATTTTATTTCATTTTAATTTACTTTGAAAACGTGGTATTTTTTCTATCACATAACTGTGCTTTTTCCTAAATATATGAGCTTAGCTTCCTGGCAGGTGAACCCTATGGTCCAATGAGAGCAGGTAACTCCCATATCAGTTGCATAGCGAATACCCTTTGCTCTTCAGTTTGAAGTTTAAAGAGCTTTCCAATACTGAATTTTGTCCACAAAATACAATAATCAACTTAAATATATATTTTAAAGTTGAGATAAAACTCAGAGGGGAATTCACTATCTCAGTCATATAGGAGTCACCAAACCTCACAGGAAATCAGAAGACGCTTACTTCTTGGGAGGAGAGCAATGTCCAATCTCGATAAAATAGTAAAGAGTAGCGACATCAGACTGGCAACAAAGATCCGCCTAGTCAAAGCCATGGTATTCCCTGTAGTCACATACGGATGTGAGAGCTGGACCTTAGGGAAGGCTGAGCGAAGGAAGATCGATGCTTTTGAGCTGTGGTGTTGGAGGAAAGTGCTGAGAGTGCCTTGGACTGCGAGAAGATCCAACCAGTCCATCCTCCAGAAAATAAAGCCCGACTGCTCACTGGAGGGAAGGATACTAGAGACAAAGTTGAAGTACTTTGGCCACATCATGAGGAGACAGGAAAGCCTAGAGAAGACAATTATGCTGGGGAAAGTGGAAGGCAAAAGGAAGAGGGGCCGACCAAGGGCAAGATGGATGGATGGCATCCTTTGAAGTGACTGGACTGACCTTGAGGTAGCTGGGGGTGGTAACGGCCGACAGGGAGCTCTGGCGTGGCTGGTCCATGAGGTCACGAAGAGTCGGAGACGACTGAACGAATGAACAACAAACCTCACAACTGTCAGCATTAATAATACTGT